CCTGCTGAATCCTGAAACTGGTTCAGTCTTTATTCACTTCCTTTTGAGAACTTTTTCCCCCCCAGTTTAAGGAGAAGTACACAGGGTACAATGGAAAAGTTTCCTTTTTTATAAACACCTTTCTAGCCTAAGGAGTGCATGGCTGACCTCTGACATGACCAATGCTGAACACTTAAAATACCTATCTGCAATTTGTGTATTCATCAGTCATGCCAGAAACAAATCCTGGTCTTTGCAACTTACTAAATAAATACATTGAGGAATGTGATTTATTTTTTTTTTTTGTTACATACAATCTTCACCTTTCACCCTAAGAAATTAATATCTAAAAAAAATGTGGTTTGTCCTAGTGTGAGATCATTATATATCAGAGCACAGAGCATGCATTTTGATTACTCTGAGAATAATTAGCACTTGAATTGATACCAAAATGAAAATAGTACAGGGAATGGAAGATGGTTTTGAATCTTGCACTTTAAAAAGCACTAGGATCTGTTTACAAGATCTTAACCGTATCTTGCTAAACACTGGCAATGATCAGAGCCATTCATTTTCATTGTTAAAGATACTATTGCAAATTAATAGCTTTGTTTTATGTTTTTATTACCACAGGTAAGTGGTTCTGTTGGTGAAGGTCTGATGACTTCTGAAGGTACCATAATTCACTGTCTTGTAAGATACTTGCTCTGTGAGAACCTGAGTTCTCACAAAGTGGGCTGATGTAAGTAAGGCCAAGATGGCTGTTTAGATGCAGGCCCGTGTTGGAACGCCACACAATGCAGCAATGCTTTGAATTAAGGAAAACTGAACTAACTTTACATAACAACTGTTGTGGAGGGAGTCTGTCTTTGGTGCTTCTCTATACAAAACAGGCCCCTACTCCTGGTCAGAGAGAGAAATAGAGTGCATGATTTTCCTGCTCTAACAACAAATCTGTTAGGAAAGGACAGATAAACATGATAGAACTCCTTTAATACATTTTTCAGCAGTGCTAGAACATAAACCAATTCAATTGCAAGTCTCAATGCTGAATTCTTAATTCTCATTAATAAATATTTCCATGTGCATCTCTGGGGATACTAGAATTTTCATTGAAGTTAAAAGTTAAAAACTTAACTGTTAAGGCCATACATCAGATTGAGGTGATTGCTTCTGTAGAAAAATTCCTGATTTAGTTCTCAAACTGCAGAATACACTAAAGAGATCTCATGGAGAAGCAAAATTAGCAATTTATATTGCTCTAGTCACCAATGATAAGACAAGCCTGATGCATAAGTGAATGACGCTGGACCACTGATCGTAAAACTGGAGGCAGCTGGGGTACCCCAGTAACAGCACCAGCTATCTGAGGCCTCTCAACACAGTTCCCTGCTTCAGGAAAAGCCCAATTTCAAGGCAAACTGCTTGCAAGGACAAAGTTTGTTCTGATTAGGCTTTTTTTTTTTGGTCATTTGATGTATATGCTGGGAAGTGTGACACAAGTGTCACTCCCGACTGCTCTGTGATAATGGGCGTTCTCTACAGAGTGACCCTTCTAACAGCCTGAACACGGTTATCTTGTGACAGAAATCCTGTGCTAGCACAGTGGAGGAAAGTTCAGGGACAAAAACAGTCAGATTTTGAGGAATCTCTAGAAAAACCTTGCCTTGATCTCCACCCTTTCTTTTAAAAAAAAAAATAAAAAAAATCACTGTTGTTTGCATTATGAAGAAAACCCTTTTTCAACCAAGTAACAGCACAAGAGGAAATGGCCTCAAATTGCACCAAGGGCAGCTGAGATTGGATGTGAAGAAGAATTTCTTTGCTGAAAGGGTTCTGAGGCATTGGAAGGGGTTGCCCAGGGCAGTGGTGGAGTCCCCATCCCTGGAGGGATTGAAGAGTCGTGTAGACACAGTGCTGAGGGACATGGGTTAGTCAGGGACTTGTCAGTGTTGGGTTAATGATTGGACTTGAAGAGCTTAAAGGGCTTTTCCAATCTAGGCAATTCTGGGATTCAATAATACTCATTTATACAGCTTCTAAAAGATGCAGCATCACCACAGAGCCAAACACTAAGCAGGCAATATAAATGCTTTTTTTTTTTCCTAATTTCCAAAGAAAAAACACCTGTCTTTATAAAGCTGTTATTCAGGTGTATACACTGAGCTGGACATAATGAAAAACTTGCATTTAAGTTCAGAACTGAAAAAAATGCCAGTGTAAAATCTTAACTTTGTTCTCCTATTACAAAAGACATCAAGCAGCAAAATCTTTCTTTGTTTATTATGTCACTTATCCAAAGCAATTGAAAAGTTGAACCTCATGCTTGTAACTCTTCAGGATCCCTGCTAGTGTTCATCTGCTGCAGTATTTTGACATATATTCCATGCTGTTTAGTGGCAAGATATAATCCAGTTAGAGCCTGTATGATTACAGCCAAACTCATTTTTCTAAAAACAGGCCGAGCAGTTGTGAGCCAGAAGCGTAATGCATTTTCTTTCCCAGGCAAGGGAGATGAAGAATACCTAAACAACATAAACAGTGGGAGAAACTTACTTCTTTTTTCCATCCAATTTAAGCATCAAGATTTAACATGAAAGTAATTAAAGATATTTAGGTAGATACTCATTCTCTCCCTTCCTCTATTAAGTTAAATTCACCTGGTGGTATCAAGTTCTCTGGATAAATGCTATAAACCATCCTGAGCACATCGCTGACGTCTCACCAAGTCTCACCATCCCCTCACTCTGCTCTGACCAGGGAGTTTGGCTGCTAGGCACTGCCTGGGATCAGTAAGGTCTCTCTGCTGTCCACCTCAGCAACAATTTTCACTGCCTGGCAGGAAGGCAGCCACCATTTCACACGCCCAGGCACACCACGGGTGGCTTGTAAAGTTCCACCTAAACCCAAGTGCTTTACAGTGCATCCGTTTGCAGATCCTGTTTCACTTCGGAGGCTCCCTGTAGCCCTTACTAACTTTGCCTTGTAATTCATAGAATCATAGAATGGTTTGGATTGGAAGGGACCTTAAAGATCATCTAGTTCCAACCCCCCTGCCATCAGCAGGGACACCTTCCACTACACCAGGTTGCTCAAAGCCTCATCCAGCCTGGCCTTCAACACTTCCAGGGAGGGGGCATCTACAACTCCCTTGGGCAACCTGTTCCAGTGTCTGAACTGGACGACCTTAATGTAAATCTCCTTCCATGTACTAAAAGCTTATAAGAAGATAAGTGTGCACAGACTAAAAATCCACAGAATTTAACTTGAGAACTGAAGATTTGACCGACAAACACATTTAAGGTATTGCAGGTTAATAAGACCTACCTGGCTGCAAGGCTTGCATTCATGGGGATAGCCAAGAAAATAGGATAGAGCCCACCTACAACAGCCCCGATCAATCCTCCTCTGACCACAGCGCAGACCTCACAGTTTAGCTCACCTGCATGACAAAAAATATTTCACTGTCAATATCCACATAGCTCCACCCCATCATTTATAAGCTCCGTGTGACAACATGGATGCAGGTGCTTGACAGAAATGGCCAAGCTGTACAGGAACGCGAGGAATTTGGGGAGAAGGACCCTGTCCTTTTGCAAAAAAAATAAAAAATAATAAAATTACTCATTCCAACCGATGAAGAATTTATTGCTCTAAAGCTGACCTTCAAATGACATCATACAGATGGGGGAAACTGAACTGCTTTGCTGCAGTCACTTTTACTTTGAGTGAAAAATACTAAAAATCAGTGATGTGTAACAGAATTATTTTTGTAAACGTATATAAAGACACATATGTATCTCCCTTCCCATTCAACTTCAAGAAGTCACTGCTGCCTGGTGCATTAAATGATCTGTTTTTCAAACCCTGCTTTATAAATGGAGGTTTTTCAAGACCACCGTTATGCAGAGAGGAAAAGCTCCTCTAGTGTTACACTGTGTACAGAAAGCAAAGCCCTTTGAAAATAAGGAATAGTGAGATTTTTTACCTGAAAATAAAGACTCACGCACAAAAACCTCATAAACAGCTGCTGTTGAAAGAAAGGGAATACAAGCCATTGGCAGAGCAGACACGAAGGAAGCCTTTCTGACATGTAGGATGTTCCTGAAGAAGTTATTTGCTGCTAAGCCGCATAAGCTTGAATTTGCCGCAAGGAAGTACGATCCGTGTTTACAGACGTTCCTGTGTAAGAAGGAAAGTCACTTCAGCAATTGAGAACTGTTAAAAAGTCTGGTTTACTCAGTGCTACAATTCACTTCTGAATATCCTACAGTAAGAGGCAAGAGAGATGTAAACCTCTTGCTGGTGCAAAATGGAGAACGACTACTTTCAAAAGCAACCAGTGCAGCATCCTTCACTATACGCCTGGTTTACACACACCTCAAGAATGAAGTGACAGAAAGGCTGGGAAGCCTTTTCTACTTTTTTTTTTTTTAATTATAGCTAATGGAAACTTCATGTAAATTGCTCTCCTAATCAGCATGTTTCTAAGGAGAATGTTTTCTCAAAATATATATATTTTTTTAAAAAGAAGAAATACATATATATAGATATATACACACATATTTTATCAGGCATTGGAAGGGGTTGCCCAGGGCAGTGGTGGAGTCCCCATCCCTGGAGGGATTGAAGAGTCATGTAGACACAGTGCTGAGGGACATGGGTTAGTCGGGGACTTGTCAGTGTTGTGTTCATGGTTGGACTCGATGATCTTAAAGGTCTTTTCCAATCGAGGCAATTCTGAGATATATAATCCCAGCTAGCACCTGTAATCAGCCTTGTTTCTAGCCTGCTTACCTCAAAGTATAGATTTAGTTTCAACATAAGAGCTTACAGAACAGATGAGGTGGGACAACTACAGCACCTGAGATCTCGCAATAACGATCTCAGCAGCTGCTGGCAGCTATTTGTAGCCATTCTGTGAGCTGAAGGACTGCAAGCCTTCCTTATGTGCATGGAACATGGATTTAAGGTCCTGCCTTGCTAGGAGGTTACACACTGGTTTACAGAACTGGAGCTTCTATTTTTCCCTTGATAACAGAGGAACTGGATTCTGTTCTCTACCATGTTTTTAACATATGGTTTAGAGCAGTTACTCCTGTTGCAATCTATCATATGGTGAAGGCAGAACAGAACAAAGTCTGGTCAGAGATAGTCAGCATTTAATATCTTGACAAACAGTCCCCATTGGAGTCCATTCCATCACAGCAGGTGACACCAGAGGTGGAATGGGAATCTAACCAATCTTACATGCCTGATGAGCAGTTTGTGATTTATTTTCATTTGACTTGCAGAAGGAGGTTGTGTGTGAGCTTTAGCATTATACCTGGCACAGTCAGCTGATTAGTGGAAACAACTCTTTGCTTTAGGTTTCCACAAATCTGAAATTCCTGGAATGAAAACTATTGCCAGGCAAAGCAATTAACTGGAAGGCACCAAGATTATGAGGCTGGGCCACTATTATTATGTTAAAAGTGTATTTTTAAAATGCACCATGAGTTGGATTTATCCCTAAAGCCCCAAAGAAAATAAAATGCTTAACCCATCACCAAATTTATGCTGGGCCAAATGTTGTATTTATTTGCAAAATTATCAAACGTGACAATCTCAAAACCATTTAGCAATTAAAATACATGATTTTTTAAAATCTGCCTACTTAAAATTCTTCTTAATGCTTAGAGTAACATTAAGCACTGACAAATCATATAAAAAAGACTTCAGAGATGTAGGTGCTAATCTTGCAAAACCTAAAACATTAAAAACATCTGACAATGACACCAACTATTTCTCATTTTAAATAGGAAAATACTTTCTTGGTACATACCAGATTTTCAAACATGAAAATAAGGTGCTACTAATTCAACTCTGATCCTATATAGCAAAAAAACTTTATTGGACAGGTATGTCTCTTGCCCTTATTTAGGAGCTATGTTTCTTTTTTTGTGTTTTGTTTTGTGTTGGGTTTTTTTTTTGTTTTAAAAATAAATTTGCTTTTCAAATCACCATTCCCCCAATACAGGATGCCATTCACAGAGTATCCCCAGTTTGTGCAAACCAGCCATTTTATTCCCTTAGTACATTTACAACCATTTAGTTAAAAATCCAAAATAGAGCAAATTAACGTTACCAGAACCAGCAGAATCTACTCAGGCTTACTGATGTACAGAAACTGCTACACTGCACAAACAGTTTTAAAGGAGGATGGAAGGGTTGGGGTTTGGGGTTTTTTTGTTAATTTTGTGGGGTTTTGGGGTGTTTTTTTTGTTTTTTTGCTTGTTTTTTGGGGGGAGGGGGGTTGTTAGTTTGGTTTCTGCTTGTTTTGTTTGGGTTTTTGTTTGGTTTTTTTTTAAATACTAGCTCCCTAGTGTTAAAAACAAGAGCTGTGGTGAACAGGAACTCTCCCAGTTTGACTGCAGCATGTTTCCTCTTCCCTTCCAGCCATTAGTGACCTCCCCTCTGCATATACAAACTTTTACTCTTGCCAATGCAGTTTCAAATAAAGGCCCCCACCCCTGGCAGCTGTTTCTTTCCAAGGCCCAGGAGTACCTAGGTACTACAGTTCCTATCAAGACGTTATCATATCACCACTGAGGTATCTGCCTCCCCTTTAGCTCCCCACCCCTTCAGAGGGAAGAAGGGCTGTAAGTTGAATGTGAGGGCAGCAGATCCTACACAAAGCTGCACCACTGACTGCAATGGGAGGGATAAAGCCTCGGTGTTTCTTTTTCTCACCTGTGTGGGGAGGCCCTGTGTTACTACTGGCACTTTGTTTGACCACCAATTTAGTCCTATTGAAAAAAAAAGCTTCCAATTAATCTTATTTCTCCTATTTATACAGAATTTATCCAAGATGATACAGACCTGCAAACAGCTCCTTACAGAACCAGCTCAGGTCCAGTAAGGTTCTGCAGCAAAATGCAGTTATCACCAAACACAAAAAGGTTGTCTGTGAGGCTCAGAAGGCATTTAGCTGGCTTGGTGCTGCACAGAACCCTGCTGAGGAGCCTGCATGACTCTGGCTGACTCGTCCAACACCACCTGGATACCTCAGTCTCGCCTTCCTGAAATGGGGAGCGGCGCAGAATGAGACGCAGAAACAAGCAGGTTGATGCTCACTCAGTTCTGGCCCCAGGCCAGCCCTGCTGGACATCAGATGACTCCTGCAGAATCACAAAATTACCTGCCTTACGCTCTCCAACATTTCAGTTTCCTAGAAAATTTACCAGCACGGGACTGTATGAATGCTCAGAGCCAGCCAGGGCTGATCAGCCATCACAGAACCTTAAGTACTGGGCAGCACAAGCCAGAAACCAGCTGAGCAGGACCAGAAATAACCATGAACTAACCATATTTAAAAGAAAAATCAAAGTTAAATTTTCTGGTTTGGACAACAATAATAAACATCCTCACAATTAAATATTTTTGTAGCTGCAAGGAAGATCTGCAATACAAGAGTAAAGGAAAAGAAAAGCCTCCAAAAACCACTTGAAATGTTTGATGCACTTATCTTCATTTATTTTACCAGCACTTACTGATCTGCTTTAGGAAGCTCATTGAGTATCTTTTGTACGACTTCCATCTGCTTAAATCTTTCCAAATATAGTCTTTGCTGCGGAGAATCTAGTTCAAGAAACTCTCTTCCCGTCATCTTGAAGTCCTAGATCATAAGGAACAAACAAACAAATGTAATCAAAGTTACACAGCCTCAGTACATATCAAATAAACACGGGCTCTTTGGGCACTGTGCAATCACAACTGCGTTTCCTATTTTCCATGGCTGAGTTTTCAGATGCAAAGGGCACAATCCAGCTACAGAGTCTAGGATATTTATGAACACATAAACCCCACCAAACTGCTTTCTTTAGTGACACCACAGCTGTAGTTTGACAATTGCTCTAAGCCAACTTAAGTACTCACTGCCCTGCAGATACCCCTGCCCAGCACCTCCAACCCTGGGGCCAAACAGCAGCTTGGATGAGGGAACTCACAGATGAAAGGCCAGGTTGGATGAGGCTTTGAGCAACCTGGTCTAGTGGAAGGTGTCCCTGCTGATGGCAGGGGGGTGGAAATAGATGACCTTTAAGGTCCCTTCCAACCCAAACCACTCTATGAAAACTGCTCAGAGGAAAACTGGGCAGTGTATTTGTTTTTTCCAGCTGGATCACCTTCTAAGACAATGATCCCTAATGCCTGCAGCTCAAGGGAGGACACTAACTGGACAATGGCTTTTAGCAATACTCTAGATTTAAATTGACTTAACTGTCAAATACAATCATAAGAAAAAAACCAAACAAATCCATACTTTGCAAAGATGTAAAGAAATCAATGAAGATTTCTCCTCTGCCTTTCTGTTGCACAAATAAGGAGTTTTTTACGGGTACTCTTAGCCAGAGACATAGATCAAGTGAGAAAGTGTAGAGCTGTATTGGGTTTACATGGCAGGGTTTTGGTAGCAGGTGGACTGCAGGGTGGCTTCTGTGAGAAGATGCCAGAAGCTTCCCCCATGTCCAACAGAGGTGGCTTCAAGATGGACTCACAGCTGGCCAAGGTGGAGCCCGTCAGTGACAGTGTTAGCACCTCTGGGATAACTTATTT